CTTGCCTACTGATGCTACTGCTTCCAATGGTGATTTTCCTCTTGCCGCATAATTGTGAAGTGGAGATATCTGGCATGTTGCATCTGCAGGGTTTTCAAAGATAACTTTGTTGACAGGCCATGGAAAGGTAAGTCATTAAACAGTCCTCAAGGTAAGTCACATCCATCGTTGGCCTCCATATAAATGTCTCTGATTGAAGAATTGCATCGACATATATCTTCACTATTGGAGGTCCGAGAGGATGCCCATTGACTAATGCATTTTGTTCTTCTGTCTACCAACGTCCTTCTGCAACAACAACATCATTTGAAGACAAATCAAAAAGCTGGCATTTGTTATTTGGTCCCTGTCAAAAACATTGATACCCGGAAATACATTATGTTAATAGAAGATCATTACTCTATATATGAGAATGAGACTGAATAATAAACTTTACCTGGCCTACAATGTCTTCTTATTGGAGATCCTCTTCTAGGCTAACACACATAGCAGCAGGCCATGCAATCATATGTTCAACAGCTTTCTCAATGGTGAACATGTTAGTCGCAGGTCTCCAAAGGAATGCTTCTGGTTCAATATCAGTGTCAATCAAGACTTTAACATCGGTAGGGCCTAAGCGACAGTCATTCACTAATTCACCCAGATCATAAGGAATAATACATCCCTCAGCAACTTTTGCATACGAACCAGCCCAATCAAGTAAGATACATTTTGGTTGTGTTCTTTTGTTCACACTCTGTAAAAGAAAAAGATAGACAAAGTATTAAGAGAGTGTATCTGTTAGAGCAAATCAAAGCATATGATATGAGTGACTTACTCTTGAAGCTGAGTTTTCACCTACTTCAGGTGATTGTCTCTGTTACAAAAAGAGAAAAACAAAGTCAAATCTTATGTACTAATTGAGCTGTAAGTCTTTATATATAAATAGATAAGTGCACTAACCTGGTTCTTCATTTTCTCAATTACTTCTTGTAGCTCATTGACCTTCTTTTGTAGATGAAGCTGATTCTCTAGCATTTCAGCCATACACTTGTGCTTCACTTGGAAACAAGCTAACTTGGTCTTATTCATATTGCGACCCATTGCTCTCATTCTACCTACCAGGATTGTCAGGCCCTAACAGTTAGCGTAGTGAATCTTGTGCTTCATTTGTTGATGGATTATCATTGTTAACAATCTCTTCTGCCTTTTTCTGAAACTCATAAGATACATTTTAAAATATCAAGTGTGATTCAAAATGCCAAAATGCAAATCAAACAAAACAAAATAACTCACAATCTTTTCAGCAGCATTCGTATTCACTTGTGTACCATCTTTCTTAGTACGTGACTTAACCTAAACCTTTAGCCTTGTCACTTCAGATGGGTCTGCACTAGCAGTTTTCTAAACCAAAAAAATGATCTCAGTTAATACATAAGTGTTTGGACTTTGGAAAAAAGCTGAGCAATATGAACAATATAAGTGTGTACAAGTTTTACCATGTCTTCGGCAAGTCTAACCATTCCCCTGCGACTACAAGTGTGTGAAATCTGATTGCGCCTTCTTTCCTTGTGGCTATCGCTTACAACCTAACAGATGAATGTTAATTTCTATTGTATATAGATAAATTTACAAATTCCAAATGCATAGCTTAAATTCTTGGCTAGTTTTGAGCTTCACAAATTTACGCCAAACAAAAGGAGAAATTTTTTTAGGTCGCATGTTCATCCTCTCTTGGTTAGTCTTAGCTTCTCTAATGTTTGTAACTGGCCTTGATTTCCAGGACCTCCACAAACATCCCATCCGCCTAAGCAATGTAACCTTTTGGTACTCTTCATCTAGTTCAAACCTTGTTTGCAATAAAAAACAAAGCAGTTAAGTACTCACCAATATCTAATAAACTTGTAAATTTTACACAAAGCTTACCTGAACAGATTTCCAGAGAACAGTCCTGAGTTCTTCACCAATTTTAGTCCAACCTTCAATTGTGATTGGAACGTGTTCTCTTACTAATGCCCCTACATATGATGCCAGCTTAACTGAGCCTTTACCAATAGGCTCTCCCATGTTACTGAACTCTACTCTTACTCTCGCATTTGGATCCTTGGCAATATCCTTCAGCCTAGTTGGTCCTTGATGTCTCTTACGCTTTGGCTCAACATATTCATGACCCTCAGATAAAACAAGCTCTCCTTAAGGTTCTTCCTCATTGACCTTATCCGGATCTCCATCAACCACCTGATCTGGATCTGCTACTTGATCTGGTTCCAAATGATCTTCACCATTCACCTTATCTGCATTTGATACTTGAACTTCAGCTGGTTCTACATGTTCCTCATCATTGACTTGTGGTTCAATTGTACCAATATACTCGACCTCATCATTGACATTCTTTGCATTGACCTTTTTTGTTACTTCTACCTCGCCATTTCTTCTGTTGTCCCATCTTAAATCACCTGAGAAAAATGAAAGAGTAAAGGGTTAAGTACACCGGATGCAAATAAGACATTGAACACACTGTGGGAAACAGACATAAAACATAGAGAAGGCAACAAGGAATGAAAATGAAACCAAAAAAAAACTACATTTCACAAACATATATTCCTTCACAATCAGTCCTCTCATTCTCAGCGTCATCCAAGTCAGCGTCTATGTCAACATTTGGTGGGAATGTGCCAATGGCTGCAATTGAATATACAAACTCTTTCTGACAGAATCTTCTTGAAGAACCTCTCAATGCAACATTCCAAGGTGTTGAGTCATCTTCTCTTAGGTAAAAAACTTGTTTTGCTTGAGAGGCTAGTATGTACGGATCCCATAAAAATGAGACTTGACTATGATTCAGGTTTACAAGTGTTAAACCATCCTCTTGCTTCAATCCATTGCTTTTTACTGCCTAGTTGCAGCAGAACAATAGAACGTAAAAGACATTATAATCCAGCAAGATAATATCTGTAATGCAGCCATAATATGAAACCAAATCAACCACTTGAGAAGTGTCTTTTGCACTAGACCTACAGATAGCAGTTGCCTCATAGTACACACCACTGTTCTGAGTTTTTTTTATCCACTGTTCTTGTATGAAATCGCTGCCCATTCATTATATAACCAGTATATGTCCTTGCACAACTACGTGGACCATAAGCTAACCATTTAAGTGTTTCTTCATGTCTGTTTGAATCAAGAGGTATCTAACAAATTTAAAAAGAAAATGTCAGACACCTATATGCTTACTGATAAAGTATAGTGTTCAAGTGTCAAGTGTGAGAGATAAACATGCCTGTTTTTTAAGCCATGAAGCAAAATTCTGAGTGTGCATACTCCATAACAGTGATGCATCACGTCTGCATCTTACATTTGAGTCTTGTAGATGTTCCAGGTGCTCACTAATACAAGGAGAAATAAGAAGTAGTTAGAGACAGCCATATGGATAAGTAAAATATATATAGCTAAGTAAAATGAACATGCTGACTGGAACTTACTCAACATAAGATTCAAAGACTGCCATATTCTGGATGACAACCATATGGGCTATTTTTGTCTCCATTTCAGTAAGATTAATATAAGAGCCTGCTGAGATTGGAGGCCCCTCAAGTATAAAGTTGCTCTCATATTAAGTAATTTTATCAACACTTTCCTGAACATTTGTTGTCTTCTTCAAAAATTCACTAAAAACTGTATGCATTCTTCAGCTAGATAACAAAATCCTTCAGAACTTTCATATATCTTTCAAACGGATACATCCATCTAAAATGAACTGGTCCACCTAACCGAGCTTCTCTGCCTAAATGTACTGTCAAATCCTCCATTATATCAAAGAAGCTTGGTGGGAAAAACCTTTCAAACAGGCAAAGGGTTTCAACGATCTCAGTTTCTAGTTCCAAAAGTTGCTCCATATCAATTACTCGTTGACACAAGTGGTTGAAGAACGTACATAAGCGCCTGATTGCAACCCTAGGACCTTTAGGTAGCAACCCTCTAAGAGCAATATGCAGAAGTAGTTGCATTAACACGTGATAATCCTGTGACTTAAGCCCCGTGACCTTACACTCATCTAATGAGATGCCTCTTGATATGTCTGAGCAGTACCCATCTGGACCTTGGAAGTCATACAACTGTTTGAAGTCATACAACCATAAGATGGTCCCTTCTGGCAGTCGACCCTCCGATCGAGTATATCAGTCATTTCTATCACTTTTTACTATTTTCTGCATCAACACTAGGACTGTTAGAAAACCACTCAAATTCTGCCTGGCTTGACTTAGAAACTTCTGATCATATCTCATCTGTCTGCATCACACCCATTTGGATTGACACCTAAAATACTACAACGACAGGATTAGTGTTTTAGGATAATTGAGCAAGAACCTATTATCAATTTGGCGCCGTTGCCAACTGGGTGCTTGTTTGCTATATTTGAGATTTCAAAATTGTTCAGATCAAGTTCGTTTTTGTTATAAGAGATACTAACATTGTGTCTTTTCAAACTTTGTATTTCAGGTACTTAGCAACCAACTTTATTTGTCAGTTATAGGTAGGTTGCTACCTGTTGCATGCATACACGGTCACAAGGGAATCAGAACTTCCTATTCAACGATAACATCGACCGTATTGCTTGCCAACTGAGAGAACTGAAAGCAACAGACACCATGGCTGACATTGTAGATGAAAAAAAGCAACCTAACAACATTTCGTGCTGGTGACTTCCCTCACAACCACAACTAGTGTCATGGCATTGTTCCACCTCCAATACAGAACAACAACTTTGAGATCAAAAGCAGCCTCATTGCAATGGTGCAGGGGAACAAGTTTCATGGCTTGCCAATGGAGGATCCGCTCGATCATCTAGACGAGTTTGAAAGGCTCTGTAGCCTTACTAAAATCAATGGAGTTAGTGAAGATGGTTTCAAGCTTCGCTTGTTTCCATTCTCACTTGGAGACAAAGCACATATGTGGGAAAAGACGCTACCCCAGGGATCAATCACGTCCTGGGATGACTGCAAAAAGGCTTTCTTGGCAAAATTCTTCTCCAACTCCGGATTCACTCAGAAGCAAAATGAAAGCTTCTATGAAGCTTGGGAACGCTTTAAGGGTTATCAAACCAAATGACCTCACCACGGATTTAAGCAAGCTTCTCTTCTCAGCACACTCTACAGAGGCGTCTTACCTAAGATAAGGATGCTGCTTGACACCGCTTCAAATGGGAATTTCCTGAAGAAGGATGTTGAAGAAAGGTGGGAGCTAGTTGAAAACTTTGCTCAGTCAGATGGTAATTATAATGAAGATTATGACAGAAGCATCCGCACCAGTTCTGACTCTGATGACAAGCACCGTAGAGACATGAAAGCTCTCAATGACAAACTAGACAAAATCCTCCAAGTACAGCAGAAACATGTTCACCTCATCTCTTAAGATGAACCATTCCAAGTACAAGAGGGGGAGAATGATCAGTGTGCTGACAGCTATGTTCAGAATCAAGGTGGCTACAACAAGGGGTACAACAATTACAGACCCAACCCAAATCTGTCATACAGAAGCACCAATATCGCCAACCCTCAGGATCAAGTCTACCCTCAGCAGCAGCAGAACCAACCCAAACCGTTTGTTCCTTACAACCAAAGCCAAGGGTTTGTTCCAAAGCAGCAGTTTCAAGGAGGATATCAACAACATCAGCCACCACCTGGTTTCACACCACATCAACAACAAGCACCTGTGCATCAGAATTCAGAAATAATGAAAATGCTCCAGCAGCTCATTCAAGGACAAGCCACAGGAGCAATGGAAATCGCTAAGAAGCTTGCTGAATTAAACAACAAAGTCGACCGACAAGGCGTTGAACTTAACAGCAAGTTTGAATCACTGAGCACTAGGATGAGATATGTGGAAGGCATCCTCGCTTCACCATCTGTTAATAACAACCCAGGCCAGCTTCCAGGGAAAGCAATCCAGAACCCTAAGGAGTACGCCACTGCTCACGCCATCACTATCTGCCATGATCGAGAGCTACCAACTCGACATGCCTCTACCTCTATCACTAGGGACAGTGAAGTTCAAGAAGGGGAGGATTTAGTTCAGAATGAAATTCCAGCTAAAATAGCAATAGAGGAGCCCATACTCGATCGCAGTACTCGATCGCAAGCTCAAGCAGTACTTTCTTCTGTTAAAAAGCTTGTCTCTGCTAAAACCAAGGATAAAGTCTTTGTTCCTCCACCATACAAGCCTCCACTACCATTTCCAGGGAGATTCAAGAAGCAACTAATAAAGAAGTATGAAGCTCTCTTGGAAAAACAATTGAAGAACCTTGAAATCACAATGCCTCTAGTAGACTCTCTTGCGCTAATATCGGACTCACACAAACGTGTGAAGGACATGATTACAGAGAGGATCAAAGAAGTTCAAGGAACTGTGGCGTTAACTCACAAGTGTAGTGCAATCATCGAGAAGAATACTGTTCAAGAAAAGTTGGAAGATCCGGGATCTTTTACTCTACCATGCTCTATTAGGCAACTGGCTTTTAGCAACTGTCTATGTGATCTAGGAGCTTCAGTCAGCCTAATGCCACTTTCTGTGGCAAGGAAGCTGGGATTTGTCAAATATAAGTCGTGCGACCTATCTTTGATCCTTGCTGATAGGACCTTAAGAAAACCCTATGGCCTACTAGAAGATATGCCTATCAAGATTAATGGAGTAGAAGTGCCTACAGACTTTGTTGTGCTTGAGATGGATGAAGAACCTAAGGATCCTCTGATGCTAGGAAGACCTTTCTTGGCCTCAGTTGGAGCGGTGATAGACGTCAAAGATGGAAAGATTAATGTCAATCTTGGGAAGGATATAAGGTTAGTGTTTGACATCACCAAAGCTCCAAGAAGATCAACCATAAAGGGACAGACCTTTGGGGTCCAAGGAGTGGTTACAAAAGATGGATTTGAGACTGAAAGAGTAAAGGAACGAAGTTTAGCTCCAACACGACCTTCAAGCTCAACCACTCAATCTAGTACGCTCTGTGTAGTTGATTGACTAGAACTTAAAAGGAAGTCTGATCTCGAAGAAGAAACCATCCAGAAGCTAGCTTGCACTGTTGAGGAATTTAGGGATAAAGTGAGTCGGATGCAAAGGGAAGCTATTCAACCTCAACTTGGCATTGAAGCTATATCAAAGAAGAAATTTGTTTGAGAATGGTCTGAAGAAGAAGACTACCAACAAGCAATAAAAGAAGCTTACAAGGAAAGGGCCATTGAATACTCAATTACAAACCTGTCAAGAGAGCATGCTAAGTCCAATGTTGTATCTGCTAAGGAAGAAGAGAAGATTTAAATTCTTCTCTATCACCCTCCTTAAGCCTAATGAGTGTGAGGAGTCAAGCTAGAGACTTAAAACAAGCTCACTTGGGAGGAAGTCCCATGATTATCCTTGTAAATAATTTTTCTTTCTTGTTATTTTTGATTTGTTTTGGTTGTGTTTGTGGTTCTCAGGAATAGAGAAGTAACCTGGAGATAGAGTAAAAATTTAAAAATTTTACTCTATCTCATAGGTGGAGATCGAGTATGCCGCGCCAACGGAGGAGGAACAACAACAAGGTCCCAGTATTCCATGGGATTACACCAAAGAGGAGATGGACGACTACGTCTCCAAAGCCTTCAACTGAGGTACCACACACAATAATCATTGTATATACCATTTTCTGTTTTCGTTTTCTTCTAGTGTCTCTTGAACTCTTCTTTAGACTTCATCTACACAAGGGACTGTGTAGTTTAAGTTTGGGGGAGGATTCAAGAAGTATTTAACATGTTTGCTAGTGAGTCTTATTTGCATCATTTGAGTCTTAACTTCATCTAAGGCATAGAAAAAAACAAAAAAAATGAGAAAATTTCTGAAAAAAGGAATTCCACAAAAACAAAGTGTTCATATAGTTGCATCACATTTAGGATTGAGTCTAGGATGTTTCATATAGGATTGTCGCATATGCATTGGGGATTATGATGAGGTAGCTTTGTAAGCATTTTGGTTCATTGTTGCTAGTTGTCTGATGCGTAGTCAATGAAATTGAAGTAAAACTGCACCATGTCTTGAATGCTCTACTCGATCACACTGTTATTATCTGATACCATTTCCTATCAATTTGAACCTGAATCTGACTTGCAATTATAATGACTTAGCATCGAATTTGAACTCATGGATACCATATACATACTTGGGTTTTCTTTAAACTTTTCACCACCCTTGCTAACCCAAGTAGCTGCTTCCATCATTGAAGTAGTTTCCCTTGCCCTTAACCAAACCTTTCTTTTGAGCCCTATTATATATCATGTGTGATTGTGAGGCCTGTTTCGGGATTAAGCTTGGAAGAAAGTGTTAGGTTTGAGCCGACAAGAGTAGTGTCTCATGTAGTTCTAGTCCACGTTTTCTGGGCTAGATAGGACTAGGTGGGTGTCTATTCTTGAAGAGGGGATCGAGTATATGAGAAAAATAAGAGAAAAAGGAAATGTTGATGTTCTTAGGAGAAGGAAGTTGAGAAACAAGTTAGTCTAGTAATGGATTTTGGGGAACTAAAAAAAATATAGGCTTTGTAACAACAGAAGAAAAAAGTCTAGAAAAGTCTTGATCACAAGAAGATAACAAGAGCCATAGTTGTCAAAGAAAACCAAAGTCCACTAGATCCATCAAAGTAAAAGAAACTTCTCCTTAGAATAAGAGTCAAAGAAAAGAAAGTGTGGTTTGATCCAAGATAAGAATGAGAAAAAAAAATGCCTTGAGTGCAAAGAGTAGAACTAGGATCATATTTTGGGCTTGAGGGTAGTACCATCTGCTGGTGTATACACTGTCTATGTTTTTGGGTAGATGGGATACTATTCTTGTATGCATAGGTTGGCTCTTACCTTTAGCATTCTCCTAAACCTCAGTCCATTTCTTTTGAGAGTCCCCTGTTATAAACTTGAACCACCAGAAAGGGACCATCTTTGTCTCCTGACCTTCACCTTAGCCAAATGAGTTCATTGATGATGCATAGCTTGATTCACGTTCCTAAACTAATGAATGTTAAAGGGATTGGTAGATTTGAAAGCATGTGTAGGTCGAGTATAAGAGTGGGATTGAACTATAATAAGGCATGGCTAACGTTTTTGAGTAGAGTTCGATAATATCGCTTCCTAGAACTGCCAACTTGGACATTGATTCTATTTGATTTATCTGATGCTTTGGTTCTGAATCCCCACCTTCAAACTTCTCCTTCAGCTTATGTGTACTTGTTTGCTTGAGGGCAAGCAAAGACTAAGTTTGGGGGAGTTGATATGTCTATAATTTGCATGTTTTACACATCCTTTTATCACCATTTTGAGTCTAGTTTCATCCATCTTTCATAGCGTTCACCATCATTTTTGTACATTTTGCATCTTTAGTTGAGTGTAGGACTAGTCTTGCATACATTCTGCATTCTATAGTTGTTTCAAGTGTTTTGGAGCTATTGGTGCTCAGAAAGAGGGGAAACAGAACAGAAAGTCACACTTCCACCAACATACTTAATCACCAGTAGTAGAAAGGGAAGCAGTCAGCTCACCAGTCCATCCAGACACTTCTACTCGATCAAAGAGGAGACCAGGCAGTCCATTCTGCCAGATATACTCGATCACAGAGGAGACCAGGCAGTCCATTCTGCAATTCTACTCTATCGCAGAGGTGACCAAGTAGTCCACTTTGCCAGTCCACCAGTTATACTCGATCGCAGAGGAGAAGAACCAATCCATCCTGACAGCTGACACACTTACTCGATCATAAAGGACAAGAAGCAGCCCAGACCATTCTGTCAACCAACCTACTCGACCACCACCTCGACCCTCTGATCAATCCGCACTCAACCAGACAACCTGAGCATCAGAAAGAGAAGAGAAGAGAAGGCCCATTCGAAGCCCATCAGGAAGCCCACTTTGAGCCGACACTCTTCATCACGCCGTCCATGGGCCGTTAAGTGGGCTCGAAGCCCGCTTTCTTATCTTAGTATAAATAAGTCTGTAAGGGTTTCGCCCTGAGACATGCACTTTTAGAGACACGAATTTCGCACTATTATTCAGCAGCCGCTTTTCATTCTTACAACTTTGTATTTTGATTTATCTTCTAAGTTATTCAGATT